CCAGCACTTCGTTGGTGTAGTTTGCATTCTTTCGTTTCGCCGATTGGTCTGTCATTTGTATCGGTAGCGCACTCCGCGCTACATCGGATTTCAATCTGAAGTCCAACGTTTGATATTTCCTGGAGTTGAAATCCTTCTGCGGGTTGTATCCGTATTGAATCCATGTGGTTCTCCAAGGGCCCAGCGTGCAGTAATAGGCGACTGCGGGCAAAAGAATCTTCAGGCTTTCATTCATGAACCGCGTCAAATACTGGACTGCTGAACGTTGATAAATGGGCCGTTCGTCAAAAAGCTGTTTCAGAACCAAATATCTCTCTGTCAATCCCTTTTGATGCACTTGTTCCATAACTTCGGCACATGGTTGATCAGGGACTTCGGTATTCATATTTTGGAAGCTGATGTAGTAAGTAAATGTTCTGGGCTGCTTTTTCCTATTGTATAATTCATATTTCTCTCTTTTTTTCAATATCGACTGATGGAATTGTCCTAGTTTATTTTGATTATAGTATTCACTGCGTGCAGAACATGGAGGGAACAGCAGAGCTGGCATCGATGTAGAAATAAGCCGTTCAAAGGTTGGCAGCTTTTCAGGGAAAATTTTGTCATATAAATATTCCACATCAGGTTTTTGCTCATCCTCTCCCATTAATGGGAGATAAATAAATTCCATTATTCTATTAAATTTGAAATGTGTTGTAACCACCCCGACCACATCATAATCCAATTGACCATCCTCATTTTTTGTAATCTTTATTAGGATCCCTGTACTGTTATCCCTATCAGCACATACTGTCTTACAAAGCCTATTGTTTGGATTTAAACACAATTCTAGCTTGTTCTTGGAATCACTAATAGCCGCTTCGATTCCATACATTCCACCGAGCGAAGATATGGCTTTAGATCCATCTTTCACAAGTCCAGGATATTCAATCCTTGCTATTCCTTTGCGAAAATTGAGCAAACACGATCGGTCAATATCTTGTTGAGATGCATTTTTGTTGATGAAGAAACTGGTACGGTGCGAATCTTCCGCATTATTAGTCATGCTGTACTTAAAGGTACATATGTAAATAAATAATTCAAAGAAAGATACAAATTATCCACTTATTCGGAAAAAAGAAACAGTTACGGCAGATAGAAAATAATAAACAATAAATGTTAGGTTAGGAACATTTACAACAATTTGACAATCACTGACACACTAGACATCACTGAAGAAAGGGAATTCGATGTTATCTGTAGAACAATACGATTGACGTATGTCATTGACAAGCGGCCATTTTTTGAGTCTGCGCCATTGCCAGCTCTACACATAAATCTGAGATTGTTACACTTTTATATACAGGGTGGCCCACGTCAATTTTGATTTCTTGGGGGACTAGCCGTACAATACAGGGTGATCCAAATATAAAATATTGCGTTACACTTTAGATTTTTAAATGGAAACCCCATTTTTTCTTAATTTTAAGATTTTCCATGAAGTTTTTAGTAACTTGTATACTAAGTGACATATAAATCCGAACACCCAGTTTAAATGGTTTTATTATAATAAAAGTTGGTGAATGTATTTATCTTCCTGTAAAAAACAAGTGAAAAAATTTTCAGGCTTATCAGTTGGACATTCCGGTTTTTATACTGCTTTTTTTTAATTCACTAACGCTCTAAAAATGAATATTTCAGCCGCAGTAAAGAATCAACGTTGGCGGATTTTGGTTCTTGACATCCTTTATGATCGGTTACGATGCCTAGAGTACGGAGACCTGTACGATTTCGTCAACTTAGTAAGTTTGATAGGGGCCGTATAGTGGGACTTCGGGAAGCTGCACTTTCTTTTCGGGCAATTGCAGTTAGAGTGCAAAGAAGTGTAGACACTGTGGTTAGGTGTTGTCAGGCATGGCTTCGAGAAGGCCGTACGCAAAGAGCAAGGGGCACTGGACGCCGCCGTAGAACAACAGACCGTGAAGATCGCCGCCTAAGATTATTGGCCTTAAGGGACCGTTTCTCCACTACTAGGTCCATTGCAAATGAATGGTTTGCAGAACACGGAAGACCTATTGGCATGCGAAGTGTTTACCGACGAATGAGAAGTTTTGGCTTGTTTTCATACCGGCCACACTGGGTCCTCTCTTTAACTCGAGAACACCGACGTAATCGCCTTGAGTGGTGCAGACAACGGTCACTCTGGGATCAGGAATGGAACAGTATTGTCTTTAGTGATGAGTCTCGATTTTGTTTAGGCGTGCCAGGGTTAGAAGGCGACGTGGTGAAAGGAGGAATCCACAGTTTTTTGTTGAAAGACATGTTCACCACACTGTTGAAGTTATGGTTTGGGGTGCTATAGCTTATGGTTCCAGGTCACCTTTAACATGGTAGAGGTAACATGAACGCGCAGCGTTATATTCACGAAGTTCTAGAACCCCATCTTTTACCCTATCTTGACACCCTGGCAGATCCAACTTTCCAACAAGATAATGCCCGAGCACATGTTGCAAGAGTCACAATAGACTTCTTTCAACATAATGTTGGTGGTTGCCTGGAATGAGATACCACAGGAGGACATTGACCACCTGATCAGAAGCATGCATAGGCGCGTTGGAGAATGCGTAGCACATCAGGGTGCATTCACACATTATTAAAGGTCAAATGGCTTTAAAGCAGTGCAATCATTTTGAAATTTTTATCATTTACTTATTATGCTTCATTAAGTACTTATACAAAATTTTATTAAAATAAAACCATTTAAACTGGGTGTTCGTATTTATATGTCACTTAGTATATAATAAAGTTTATTCCTATTTTCAATCGTTGTACTTGAGGCTCTAATAAAATTCGAATAACTTGAGTCAGTGTTATCGAATGCCATAGAAAAACTTTGTCTTTTATTTTAAATTGTTAATTTACCTACCTAGTTGTGATAAATATTGAACAATGACTTATTCAATTCAAGAAAGGGTAGAAATACAAATAACAAAACTGTAATACCAAAATGGAGGCATTGCAAGAGATACTGCATGGTTGTTTAATGCGTAAAATTCAGTCAAAAATATTAACGATGAGTATGTTACTAATTTGATAAGAAAATTTGAAGAAACTCGATCTGTGTCTAAAATTCGCTGTAATCGCCATCGAGAAAATCGGCCAGATAGAAATGAAGCCGCAGAAATAGCAGTCTAGAACTAGCTTGGATCCCGGCACGGGTACTACTTATCTTGAGAAGTGACATTTCCTAGGTTTTTGTGACATAAAGTAGGTTTTTCTACAAGATTCTAACTTAGCACATGTTTTATACTCGATTATATTTATTATATGTTTTATTATTGATACGGAATTTACACGACATTTTTTATACTCTATCAAGCTGGACTGTCCTTGTTGCTGTCCGCGCCACATATCACAACTGTCACTTGTCAAAGCACAGAGCACGGACACTTAAAGAACACAAACTCATACAACAGCACAAACGGCTATATACTTGTTGTGTGTTTTGTATCTGCACGTGTTGCTTAAACGTCAGCGAACAGCGTTATACCGAATGAGGAATGAACTATTTGCTGACGAAAAGCTACATAATAGTTTGCAAGATGACATTTCGTTGTTATTTTTTTTTGAGGTTTTTTAGTTACCCCTGCGGGTCTGGATATTCGAGGAAACAAGAAGGCGGAAAAACCGCTGTATATTGGAAGAAGCCTAAATCCACCACTAAACCTGAATGTTCCTAGAGCAATTGGGATCAAATTTATCGAAGAGCATACTTGGAAAAAAAATCAGAAATGAAAAGGAACAAATTAACGACGTCAAAGACAATTGGTATAGTTAGATCCAAACAAAATTCCCGAATACCATTTGGTTATATAAGATTGGTTTCATGAACAAGCATAGTCAAACTTAGAACTGGACATTGCCCTTTCACATAACACCTGCACAGAATCGAACTAAAACAGGATCCTTTATATGAATGTGACCAAAAAGAAGATAATAATCATATATTTTGGGATGTGTGATAAACCAAACAAATAATAATGTACAAAATCGTAGAGCAAGTGGAACCTCTACGCCATTCAACAAGCAAACAGTTTTGATGTCCAACCTATCCCAAAAAAGGGATCCAAAACTGACCCTTACAACTACAGGCCAATAGATCTACTTTCTGTTATCAGTAAGGCGATGGAAAGGTGCATAAATCATGAGCTTCTGGACTACCCCGATTGTCACGGCTTGATTAGCGACAAGCAGTTTGCAGCGATCCACACGGAACCTCCTTGCTTACGTCACGCAATTGCGGAGTAAGCTCATCCAGTCTTATCGTGAGGCTCATGTCATTGCTTTTTATCGTTAAAGCGTTCCAATCAGCAGTGGCACGATTCTCTCACTTCTACCCAATGGCCCCCCAGATAAGCTTTGCAGATGGGTGGCCGCAAGATATCCATCGTAATTGACGGGTTCTCCTCTTCATATCACAACGTCAACGCGGGTGTTCCCTAGGAATTGGTCTTGGCTTCGACACGGTTCCTCTTACATATCAACGACTTCCTTTCCTGTACGAAAAACCCGATCCACAGGTTTGCAGTGAACAGGAAGACCTGTAGGTTATAACTGATTGGGGATGCAACAATCTTGCTTCCAAAACTCACACCTTGACGAACAAAAAGCGTCCTAGAGCTTATACGGATTCGATGGCGAACTTTGTTCCTCAGCGCTCTCCTCCATGATGCCGCCGCGCGAAGTGCTTGAAAGGCAGACGCGCCTGACTTTGGCATCCCATTCTAACCGTGTCGAACCTCGTACATCCACAACTAGCCGATACGACCGCTCCCTTGTCCCGAGGGTGTCAAGACTGTGGAAAATTCTACAAGAGGAAGATTTTCCCAGTTCCACTACCCTTAGGCACTTCAAAAATCAGGTTAACAAAATCTCTTTAGGATCCTCATAGCAGTTACGGTGTCCTGGCATTTAGGCATCTGCCTGCGCGGCTGCTTCGGTATATATAAAAAAAAACGTACCGTTTTGCTGTACACTATAATCGGAAGCCTCGTGCCATTCTTGAGGAGCATCAACGACCATTGGGTTATAGAGTGATGCGTGAGGCTGCTGATCGACATCGCCGTCGCCCAGATTCAGCTGAAATGACCCCTGTCCTGCAGTGGATTCCCTGATCTGTTGGAGATATGGTGTGGGATAATTAGCTTCATTCAGCGGTTCGGTGGTAGCCTGGAGGTGTTCTGGCGGCTTGTAATGCGATCTGCCCCTGGTGCGGACAGTATTAGGTTTTCGGGTTGCCTGTTCGGTGATGCGCTGACTTGGTTCGTCATACCTGGAAATATTGAAGACGTAAATAATGAAAATTCTGCAAGAAAAAACACAGCTGATTATTATTGAGGACAAGAGACAGAAAGTCATATTGAAATCCCAATTATGCCCACCTTGTAGAGGAGAAACAGAGAGCAATGTGTCATTTATTTTGAAATTTTGCTTCAAATAAAGTCAGGGAGAAATAAAAAATGACGTCAAGTAGATTGACATGTACTTCCTGCACAGTTTTGAGAGTATGAGATAAGAAATCCGCGAAGCTATTGAACATTATACAAACCTAGTTTTATGATTTGACGTCACCCTTCTGGTGGTGGTAGTTCGACCTCTTGTTCTTATCCTATTAGGCTTTGGCGTGTCTGTCTGAATCTCTGTAGGAACTATCGTGTTGGCATCGTAAGTTCTGGTCGTATATTTCGGCCTGATTTCACCGAGAAATCGGACTGCGGTTGTGGTCTGTTCGATGGTCGGTTGATTTGACTCCTCGTTGTTTTTGGCAAGGTACTGTTCGCTGGAAAAGGTACAAATAGTTAAAAATCGGCGTTTATAACATAATGAGGCAACATTGACTACATTAACTACTAGTTGTCGTATAATATGAAGATTTGTCACCTTGCCATCTACTGCCCTTGGCCAACAAACTCTCTCATTCCTCGTTCCCGTGCCACGCGATACATGTCGAGTTACTCGAGTTCGCGCACCGATTTTTACGATTCCAGCAGTGCCGAGATGCCTAAACGTAAGAAACGACAAAGGAATAGATCTTCGTACGAGGAATCGCTGAACACAGATATTAGACGACTGGGGCAAAGGTGGGGTATTTATGATGTGCATACCGAGGACGAACAATGAAGTTCAGGATAACGTTGAAACATTGGACCCGGTTGCTTGGGATAGCAACAAAGATCTGGGATAGTCAGCTTCACACCAAGGACGAAAGAATACTTTTGGGATAATGTTGAAGCATTGGACTGTGTTGCTTGGGATAGCAACCTGGACCCAGCTTGTGATAGCCAACTCCATGCCAAGGACGAACAATGATGGTTGGGGTAACGTTAAAACATTGGGATTTCAGTGTGAATCTGGCTTCAGATTGTTAGCTCCACACCAAGGACGAAAGAAGACTTTTGGGATGATGTTGAAGCATTGGACTGTGTTGCATTGGATAGCAGCCCAAACCCAGCTTGTGATAGCCAACTCCATGCCAAGGACGAACAATGATGGTTGGGGTAACGTTAAAACATTGGACTCGGTGGCTTGGGATTTCAGTGTGAATCTGGCTTCAGATTGTTAGCTCCACACCAAGGACGAAAGAAGACTTTTGGGATGATGTTGAAGCATTGGACTGTGTTGCTTGGGATAGCAACCTGGACCCAGCTTGTGATAGCCAACTCCATGCCAAGGACGAACAATGATGGTTGGAGTAACGTTAAAACAGTGGACTCGGTGGCTTGGGATTTCAGTGTGAATCTGGCATCAGATTGTTAGCTCCACACCAAGGACGAAAGAAGACTTTTGGGATGATGTTGAAGCATTGTACTGTGTTGCTTGGGATAGCAACCTGGACCCAGCTTGGAATAGCCAACTCCATGCCAAGGACGAACAATGATGGTTGGGGTAACGTTAAAACATTGGACTCGGTGGCTTGGGATTTCAGTGTGAATCTGGCTTCAGATTGTTAGCTCCACACCAAGGACGAAAGAAGACTTTTGGGATGATGTTGAAGCATTGGACTGTGTTGCTTGGGATAGCAACCTGGACCCAGCTTGTGATAGCCAACTCCATGCCAAGGACGAACAATGATGGTTGGGGTAACGTTAAAACATTGGACTCGGTGGCTTGGGATTTCAGTGTGAATCTGGCTTCAGATTGTTAGCTCCACACCAAGGACGAAAGAAGACTTTTGGGATGATGTTGAAGCATTGGACTGAGTTGCTTGGGACAGCAACCTGGACCCAGCTTGTGATAGCCAACTCCATGCCAAGGACGAACAATGATGGTTGGGGTAACGTTAAAACATTGGACTCGGTAGCTTGGGATTTCAGTGTGAATCTGGCTTCAGATTGTTAGCTCCACACCAAGGACGAAAGAAGACTTTTGGGATGATGTTGAAGCATTGGACTGTGTTGCTTGGGACAGCAACCTGGACCCAGCTTGTGATAGCCAACTCCATGTCAAGGACGAACAATGATGGTTTGGGTAACGTTAAAACATTGGACTCGGTGGCTTGGGATTTCAGTGTGAATCTGGTTACAGATTGTTAGCTGCACACCAAGGACGAAAGAAGACTTTTGGGATGATGTTGAAGCATTGGACTATGTTGCTTGGGATAGCAACCTGGACCCAGCTTGTAGATAGCTAACTCCATGCCAAGGACGGACAATGATGGTTTGGGTAACGTTAAAACATTGGACTCGGTAGCTTGGGATTTCAGTGTGAATCTGGCTTCAGATTGTTAGCTCCACACCAAGGACGAAAGAAGACTTTTGGGATGATGTTGAAGCATTGGACTGAGTTGCTTGGGACAGCAACCCGGACCCAGCTTGTGATAGCCAACTCCATGCCAAGGACGAACAATGATGGTTGGGGTAACGTTAAAACATTGGACTCGGTAGCTTGGGATTTCAGTGTGAATCTGGCTTCAGATTGTTAGCTCCACACCAAGGACGAAAGAAGACTTTTGGGATGATGTTGAAGCATTGGACTGTGTTGCTTGGGACAGCAACCTGGACCCAGCTTGTGATAGCCAACTCCATGTCAAGGACGAACAATGATGGTTTGGGTAACGTTAAAACATTGGACTCGGTGGCTTGGGATTTCAGTGTGAATCTGGTTACAGATTGTTAGCTGCACACCAAGGACGAAAGAAGACTTTTGGGATGATGTTGAAGCATTGGACTGTGTTGCTTGGGATAGCAACCTGGACCCAGCTTGTGATAGCCAACTCCATGCCAAGGACGAACAATGATGGTTGGAGTAACGTTAAAAATTGGACTCGGTGGCTTGGGATTTCAGTGTGAATCTGGCTTCAGATTGTTAGCTCCACACCAAGGAGCAAAGAAGACTTTTGGGATGATGTTGAAGCATTGGACTGTGTTGCTTAGGATAGCAACCTGGACCCAGCTTGTGATAGCCAACTCCATGTCAAGGACGAACAATGATGGTTGGGGTAACGTTGAAACATTGGACTCGGTTGTTTGGGACAGTAGTGTGGATCTGGTTTGAGATAGTTAGATTCACACCAAGGACGAATGAAAACATTTATGATAACGTTGCAACATTAGACTCAGTTGCTTGGGATAGCAATGTGAATCTGGCTTGGGATAGTTAGCTCCACTGCAAGGACGAAAGAAGGCTTTTGGGATAATGTTGAAACATTGGACTGTGTTGCTTGGGATAGCAACCTGGACCCAGCTTGTGATAGCCAACTCCATGCCAAGGATGAACAATGATGGTTGGGGTGACGTTGAAACATTGGACCCGGTTGCTTGGGATAACAACAAATATCTGGCTTGGGATAGTCAGATTCACACCAAGGACGAAAGAAGAATTTTGAAGCATTGGACTGTGTTGCTTGGGATAGCAACCTGGACCCAGCTTGTGATAGCCAACTCCATGCCAAGGACGAACAATGATGGTTGGGGTAACGTTAAAACAGTGGACTCGGTGGCTTGGGATTTCAGTGTGAATCTGGCTTCAGATTGTTAGCTCCACACCAAGGACGAAAGAAGACTTTTGGGATGATGTTGAAGCATTGGACTGTGTTGCATTGGATAGCAGCCCAAACCCAGCTTGTGATAGCCAACTCCATGCCAAGGACGAACAATGATGGTTGGGGTAACGTTAAAACATTGGACTCGGTGGCTTGGGATTTCAGTGTGAATCTGGCTTCAGATTGTTAGCTCCACACCAAGGACGAAAGAAGACTTTTGGGATGATGTTGAAGCATTGGACTGTGTTGCTTGGGATAGCAACCTGGACCCAGCTTGTGATAGCCAACTCCATGCCAAGGACGAACAATGATGGTTGGAGTAACGTTAAAACAGTGGACTCGGTGGCTTGGGATTTCAGTGTGAATCTGGCTTCAGATTGTTAGCTCCACTGCAAGGACGAAAGAAGGCTTTTGGGATAATGTTGAAACATTGGACTGTGTTGCTTGGGATAGCAACCTGGACCCAGCTTGTGATAGCCAACTCCATGCCAAGGATGAACAATGATGGTTGGGGTGACGTTGAAACATTGGACCCGGTTGCTTGGGATAACAACAAATATCTGGCTTGGGATAGTTAGATTCACACCAAGGACGAATGAAAACATTTATGATAACGTTGCAACATTAGACTCAGTTGCTTGGGATAGCAATGTGAATCTGGCTTGGGATAGTTAGCTCCACTGCAAGGACGAAAGAAGGCTTTTGGGATAATGTTGAAACATTGGACTGTGTTGCTTGGGATAGCAACCTGGACCCAGCTTGTGATAGCCAACTCCATGCCAAGGACGAACAATGATGGTTGGGGTAACGTTAAAGCATTGGGATTTCAGTGTGAATCTGGCTTCAGATTGTTAGCTCCACACCAAGGACGAAAGAAGACTTTTGGGATAATGTTGAAGCATTGGACTATGTTGCTTGGGATAGCAACCTGGACCCAGCTTGTAGATAGCTAACTCCATGCCAAGGACGGACAATGATGGTTTGGGTAACGTTAAAACATTGGACTCGGTGGCTTGGGATTTTAAGTGTGAATCTGGATACAGATTGTTAGCTCCACACCAAGGACGAAAGAAGACTTTTGGGATGATGTTGAAGCATTAGACTGTGTTGCTTGGGATAGCAACCTGGACCCAGCTTGTGATAGCCAACTCCATGCCAAGGACGAACAATGATGGTTGGGGTAACGTTAAAACATTGGACTCGGTGGCTTGGGATTTCAGTGTGAATCTGGCTTCAGATTGTTAGCTCCACACCAAGGACGAAAGAAGACTTTTGGGATGATGTTGAAGCATTGGACTGTGTTGCTTGGGATAGCAACCTGGACCCAGCTTGTGATAGCCAACTCCATGCCAAGGACGAACAATGATGGTTGGGGTAACGTTAAAACATTGGACTCGGTTGTTTGGGACAGTAGTGTGGATCTGGTTTGAGATAGTTGGATTCACACCTAGGACGAATGAAAACATTTATGATAACGTTGCAACATTAGACTCAGTTGCTTGGGATAGCAATGTGAATCTGGCTTGGGATAGTTAGCTCCACTGCAAGGACGAAAGAAGACTTTTGGGATGATGTTGAAACATTGGACTGTGTTGCTTGGGATAGCAACCTGGACCCAGCTTGTGATAGCCAACTCCATGCCAAGGATGAACAATGATGGTTGGGGTGACGTTGAAACATTGGACCCGGTTGCTTGGGATAGCAACAAATATCTCGCTTGGGATAGTCAGCTTCACACCAAGGACGAAAGAAGAATTTTGAAGCATTGGACTGTGTTGATTGGGATAGCAACCTGGACC